CCTTGAACACGGGTGAATGATGGTCCGCAGACGCGGGTGCCGAGCCACGCTCTCTATCGCTCTCTGCCTGGAACACTGGTGAGCAGGGGCGTAGCAGCCATTTTAAAAGTGGGGGGACAGCTGTATGGTGATGTCATCCAAAAGTGAGTAATGATTTACTAGCAATACAGTTTATTTAATAATCTTTTAACCAAAATTAAAAAATAATTACAAAATATTAATAATAACAATAAACAAACAGAACCACACACATTTAAATTAAGCATTACTCTGTGTGAAAATATTTTTAAATCTGCAATTTCAAAATTGCAAGTTGATACTTGTGTGTGTGTGTGTGTGTGTGTGTGTGTGTGTGTGTGTGTGTGTGTGTGTGTGTATATACTTAACCAGGTCAGGGTAATTAGACAAGTTATTGTTTGAGGATGATTTGTTCTGTAGACTATCGAAAAAAATATTGCTTAAAGGGACTAATAATACTGACCTAAAATGGTGTTTAAAAATTAAAAACTGCTTTTATTCTAGCCAAAATAAAACAACTAAGACTCTCCAGAAGAAAAAATATTATCAGACATACTCTAAAATTTCAGAGTGGGGAGGGGGGTTGGGGGGAAATAATTCTGACTTCAAATGTGTGTGTGTGTGTGTGCACGTGTGTGCGTGTGTATATTTGTCCTGGTCTTTAATGCACAAGGAATTTATAAAATCGGAATACAACAATTCATAATTCTGAAGTTTAATTATTATGTTTGACATATAAATAGTTTTTTTATATTTAACATTTGCTTTAAATGCTGATTTAAGTAATGACCAAATACTGATTCAAAGTCTCTAGAGTTTTTAAAATATGAAATTTATTCAGGGAAATGTACAGTTTAACAAAATATGATTTTCTTTTGGTCCATAAACAAGAGGTTTTGCATCATGTTAGGCCTGTCAGAGCAATGTAACATCAAAAATATATCTAGCAGCAATATTTCAGTTATAAGATTAAGATTGAGTTAGTCAGTCACTGTAACAAAACTGTTAAATTTTTCAATTGAGCATTTCTCTGTGGTAAGTGGTGCCGGAGGTTTGTGTGCATATTTATTTTCAATTATTCAACAGGATTCATAAACAACTGTTAGTCAGGTAGTAAAAAGAAATGTGCATTTATATTTTCCAATTATGCTTTAAATTCCAAAATCTAAACTTTTAGGCCTTAAAAAGTCTTAAATTTACTAAAATATTTTGTTGTAGGTCTTAAATCTTTTTAAACAAGTCTTCGTTTTCCTTTGTTCATGTCTTGCTACCCAATCTGGTCAAAACCCATACAATCACCAACAATCTATCTCAATAAAACTTTCAACTTTTTAATAAAAAAAGACATTTTAACTCTATTTATCATAATGGTGAGGACTGCTGAGGATATCTACCTGGACAGATTGTTGCGCATAGATTTAGTTTAGTATAGTTTTTAAAACTTTTAAAACATTTTTTTGTTTTTTTTATTTTAAAGAAAGTTTATTTTGGAAAAAAGCGTGTGGAATATTTTTGCTTTTTAAAGAAAACATTTTTAGATCCTAAAAACATCCTAAAAAAATCCATCTACACAACATCTTCTCCATCTACACAACATCTTTAGGACCAGTCATCCAGAAACATGGGTTCTCCTACCACTGCTATGCTGATGATTCCCAGCTATATCTCTCTTTTCACTCTGATGATCCCTCGGTTCCGACTTGCATCTCAACCTGCCTGTCAGACATTTCACACTGGATGAGAGACCATCATCTTCAGCTTAACCTCACAAAAACAGAAATAATTGAAGTTTCTGCCAACCCGACTCCACATCACAACTTCTTAATCCAGATGGAATGGGCAACCATCCAAAATGGTGAAAAGCCTTGGAGAAACGATTGATGACCAACTAAACTTCTCTGACCACATTTCTAGAACTGCTCGATCGTGCAGATTCGCACTCTATAACATCAGAAAGGTCCGACCCTTCTTATCTGAACATGCAGCTCAACTCCTTGATCAAGCTCTTGTTCTCTCCAGACTAAACTATTGCAACTCTCTGCTAGCCGGGCTCCCAGCTAACTCTATCAAACCTCTCCAGATGCTTCAGAACGCAGCAGCACAAAGATATGTCATTATTTGTAACTTTAGATGCCATGGTTTCTAAAACAAAATCTGTCAGTGTTATCTGCATTCTCATCTTTAGCGCTTTACAATTTGTAGCGGCAGTAACTCTCTCTGTCATCTCAAGCCAGAAGGCATTGACTGAGTGATTGACAGCTGATATTTCAGTGCTAGAGCAGTGGTGGGCCAATAAGAAGAGCGCAAAGGTGGGGCAAACATTACGGACTTGGCTTTGTTTACTGCAGCAAGTTGACATGACAACTGTTTTAAACTATTCCTGAGTGCTGCGTTTCCCGTTTCAAGTGCAGAGATGCATTCTGCATGAATGTCTCCCAAATCCTCGCATGTGGTGAACATTTTGCAGTAAAAACAGGGTCGCACACAACAATTTTTTGCACAAATGCTCACAAATATATTTTGAGGTCGCATAGATAAAACTTCGGGCGCAAACCCTGTAGTATTTCCTGAAAAGCCTGTTGTATTTCCTCCAATCTATGACATATCTTTTTAATTTTGGGATCTTTGATTTTATTGATACTCTACTCTGCCTGTTCTTTCCTTATTCTAGCTTTAACTTCTTTGATCTTATTAAAATATCTGGATCTTTTTATCACCATATTTAGTCTCTAATTCTTTAAGTTGTATATTCAGATTATTTATGTAATTCCATTTTTTTCCTTGATCCTCACATTATAAGTTTACCTCGCATATCAGCTTTAGCTGCGTCCTATAGGATACTAGGTGACACCTTTCCATTATCATTATGTTTTAAATATTCTAATAGTTCTTTTTGAACATATTCTACATGTTAAATAATCCAAATGATTAGGGTTAAATCACCAAAATGTCTTTTTGGGTTTATTGTCCAGGTACACTGTTAAATATACTCCTGCATGGTCTGAGATGTCCCTTGTTTCTATTTTACAGTCTTTTATTTTATGTTGATCTGACCCAAACATAAAAAATGAATCAATTCTAGAACGAGACATTTGGGTGGAAGAGAAGAAAATACTATTTTTTTTAAGAGGGTATATGTCTTTCCACAAATCTTTGAAGCCTAATTCTTTCATCATATCTCTTATTTGTCTAGTTTCTTTATTAATTTGCTTATTAAAAAGATTAGTCCAATTTAGGCTGAAATTGTACATTCCACTCTTCCCCACATATCAACGTACCTGATGCCTCCCTGGCTCTAAAAGTAAATATTTATTTGAGAAATGCTTTGTCTTTTTCAGGTGGTCTATCTATATTATCTAATGTAACTTTGTTTTAGTCGATAGTTCCCTAATTAGGTTAAATCATCCTTCTTTATCAGTAATCTTAGAATTTAATTGGAAGTTGACTTTATTTGAGATTAATGTCATTACTCCTCGTTTACGACCATTATTATATGAGGAAAAGAAAACCTTAAATCCCTTTTTATTTAATTTCTTATGTTCTGTATCAGAAAGATGTGTCTGTTACCAGAATATTATCTGTTGCTTTTCTTTTTTCATTTTAGCCAAGAGTTTGCTTTTAATCGGATTTAGTAACCCATTAATATTCAAAGTAATTACTCTATATTTCTGTTTTTGCATAATCAGATGTTATTGCGAAAATCACAGTGACGGAATATGAAAAACACAAACATGAAAATCCTGAACCAAATAAAAAAGCATAACCAAAAAGGTCTCCAAACCTTAAAGTCTTAAATAACTTTTTAATGTGAGGGGAAAGCCTTCCTTTTCTAAAGGGCCTCTCTCCTCTCCTCTTGTCCCTTTAAAAGTCACATACTTTTCTCTTCTTCGATGTCACTCCAAACTTTGCCAAAATCTTTTTCTCTTTTCCAGAAATTCCTATAATAGTTTCTTCTTCGTTGTTTATTAGCCCTTTTCATTCAGACCTCTTGATGCCTCTGTCATCGAATTGTACAAGACCTGCCCGTTTTCCAGAAAAGATTCTAAGTTTCGCCGGCGGTGGTGATTGGAACTTAATCCCTTTTCTTTAAGAATTTTTCCTATTGGAGCAAAAGCCCGTCTTTTCTGTTGGAATTCAGGTGGGTAATATTGGTCAAAGAAAATCCTTTATTCGTTCCAGTGTATTACTTTCTTTATCCATGCAAAGTGGAAGACCAGGTCCTTCGTTTTGTTTTCCAGTAAGAATATTAACGCTGATCTAGGGTGTGTGTCAGCAGGTGTTGGTCCGAGGACCCAGTGACACCATTGGATTTTAAGGTCCAATTCATTAAGTGACAGTTTGTTTTGCAATGCAATGCTAGCTGACAGGCTATCAGCTATCCTGTCCGTCTCTGATTTTTCATCTGTTGATTTCTCGTTTTTTTCAGGTTTCAATGGTTGTTTTGTCCTAGCCTTTTTGTTTTTGTCCCCCTTCATGTTATTTAAATATGGTTTAGGTTATTACATATGATGTTAAACTGAGGATTAATACCAGTGTGTATGGGAGCTGTCTTTCTATGCTGCTACATGTGTCAACGCCATACTGGAAACCATCCCATGTGTTTCTTAAGCTACCCCGAATGAGTGAAACTCTGCACACACTTATCATGTCTACGGTTTCTCTCCAGTGTGAATCCTCTAATGTGTTTACAGGGTTCCTGAGTGATAAACTTCTTACTGCAGAGTGAACACTTGTACGGTTTTTATCCAGTGTGAATCCTCTGGTGCTGTTTCAATTCTGCAGCAGTAATAAAAGTCTTCTTGCACTCCAAGCACATTTACTCTCTCACACCAGTGTGGTTCTTCATGTGTTTTTTAAGGTGTGATGAGTGGGTGAAACTCTTCCCGCACCGAGTGCAAGTGAATGATCTCTTTCCAGTGTGGATCCTCATGTGTTTATTAAGGTATGATGATTGGTTAAAACTCTTCCCACACTTAGTGCATGTAAATGGTTTTTCTCCGGTGTGGATCTTCATGTGTTGATTAAGGGATAATGATTGGCTAAAGCTCTTCCCACACTGAGTGCATGTGAATGGTTTCTCCCCAGTGTGGATCATCATGTGTTGATTAAGGGATGACGAGTGGCTAAAACTCTTCCCACACTGAGTGCATGTAAATGGTTTCTCTCCAGTGTGGATCCTCGTGTGTAGAATAAGATTTGATGATTGGCTGAAACTCTTCCCACACTGAGTGCATGTAAATGGTTTCTCTCCAGTGTGGATCCTCATGTGTAGAATAAGATTTGATGATTGGCTGAAACTCTTCCCACACTGAGTGCATGAGAATAGTTTCTCTCCAGTGTGAATCCTCATGTGTTGATTAAAGGATGATAATTGGCTGAAACTCTTCCCACATGGAGTGCACATGAATGGTCTTTCTCCAGTGTGGATAATCATGTGTTGATTAAGGTTTGCTGAGTGGCTGAAACTCTTCCCACACTGAGTGCATGTGAATGGTTTTTCTCCAGTGTGGATCCTCAAGTGAATCTTAAGTTTGCTTTTGCTTGCCAAACTCTTTCCACACTGAGTGCGGGTAAAACAACCCTTGTCTCTCACTTTTAAAATATCATCAGTCTCTAAATAAGTTTTGTCCTCAGTTTTGACATGATGTTCCTCCTCTTTACTCTCCTCATAGTCTTCAATTAGGTCTGAAAAAAAGTTCAGTTTTTAGTAAATCATTAAAACTCATCGAAAGCTGAAGTGAAAAGGCTCTAAAACATTGTCTACACAAACCTTAATTTTAATGCACATTAAATGCAAAGACATAGCAGATCATATTTAGATTGATCTTGTGATATAAACCTCCTGGGGTCCATTACACACATTCCCATTTAAGTGTATTCTTATATGATCATTTTTGGTCATATTGATGAGACATAAATTTGAAAGCTGTAAATGGCCAGTTTTTCTATTTGTTTATATTCGTAATAACTTAAAACAACATGTTTTTGTAAAACAGATAGGGAATGTTTTTTATTCTATGCCTGTATGGTAAACCTGTCAGAAAAAAAAAACAGCTGAATCTCTGAGTATTTGCCCTTACAGACATGAGACATATCTGCACCTTTAAATGACAAATGTTCTAAGGGTTAGTAATCTGCAGTGCAGAATTCGAACACTTAACAGCCTCAGATCATCAAACAAACGTAAATATTAATCAAAGAGAACACAAGTAAACACATTGTGCAGTTTTTAAGGTTTTTATTCTTAAAAGGAAGACAAAGTACTGAACTACATAGCCTTGTGTGAAAATGTTTTTCCCCAATAAAACCTAACTTTACTTTTTCACACCGGCTTCAAGTTCTCTAGCCACACCCAGACCCGATTACTACCACATGTTTGCAATCAATAAATCACCTAAATATGACCTATCTGACAAAGTGAAGTAGACCAAAAGAGCCTCAAAAGCTAGACATCATGCCAAAATCTAAAGACCTTTAAATACAAATGAGAAAGAAAATACTTGTGTCACGAGTTAAAACACGAGTTAAAAAAAAAAGTGAACTCAAATGCAGAAAAACAATGTGTTTGGGGAGTGAGTCCTGTGAAGGATTCGGATTTCAGCTTTCCAATCCGTCTCATCATGGGCCACCGTTTATCCTTTTCATCATCCTTTTTCTCAGTATTTAACTGTGAATTGATTTTAACTAATGAATAAGTTAAAACTGCTTACTGTAAGAATGTTCTGTGTCCTTGTTTCTCTTTTTGCCTGTCTATTTTAACTTTGTTTTCAGGAGACACACAAACCAGGTCATAGGTCATGGAGATCTCTCTCTCTCTCTCTCTCTCTCTATCTATCTGTTCCTATGACTGGAGGTCCAATACAGAGGAGAAGAAGACACCTGTTTCATTGTCCTGATATATTGCCTATAATTTTATAGCTGTTTGATTGATCTGTTTTTGTGTATAATTAATAGTAATGTAATTCCTTTTTGTGTGGAGACAGACTGTGTGTAGCCAAGATATTGTTGCAGACTGTTGATGGAAACAGTCTTGAACCAGCCTGATAACACAGCTGAACCTACAAGAAAAATCCTTGAGTCTTTTACACAGATGGTTTTTTGTATCTATTGTGTTCCTGGTTTAGCTTTTTACAGGTCGGAGATCAGCTCCTAATAACTTAGGGCGACCTCACCTCTAGGCATCAGGTCGCCATCCATATCTGGAGACAGATACAATGCTTTCTTTGACGCACACTAAGGCCATCCATATCTGGAAGTAGATACTATGTTTCTTTGACGCATGTATTTAGAATTGTCTATTTCTGTTGTAACCAATGAGATCTGTTTACCTGGATCCCACCCTTTCTGGACTTGTGTAAAGAGTATAATTGTTCGATTGTTGAAACTGTAAGCAGAGCGGCCTAGGAACTCATTGAGAGTGTTGAAGCTGGCTTCTGCAAATGAAACTGCAAACTATCTTCAGTAAACTTAATTCATTTTTTTTAAATCTCTGACTCCAGCTCTTCTTCATCAACCAGACTGGTCAATCTTTGGGTTAAACTGTAAACTATCCCTACACCTGGAATAAGCAAAAGTCAAAGTAAACATCTGATCAGGTGAGCACTGAGAAAGTGTTGTGGGATAAAACAACCAGACACTCACTCACTAGCATTCCTGCACACAAGTACAGGGTGAGAAACTAAATAATATGCACACAAATGATCGATAACATACTGATAAACATGAAGGGAAATGATGTTGTATAAACAGGAAAAAAGGGAAACGAGAGCTCCTGTGACTGCAAAAAAAAGCAGATTACGAAATAACCTGTAACCCAGAACAGGAGAAGAGAGCAAATCTGTGATGGTGACAGTACCCTCTCCCTCAAGAATGCCCCCTAGCATTCCCTTAAGACTCACTGTGGACCTATTTAAACTGATCAATAAGAGAGCGGTCCAGAATATCCATAGCCGGAATCCAACATCTCCCCTCTGGACCATAACCCTTCCAGTATACCCGATACTGATAATCTTTCTACCTCTCCTCCTCACATCCAGGAGCCAGTGCACTGTGTATGTGAATGCACCCTCAACCAGTCTGGGACGCAGAGGTTATGGGCTGCAGGGGGAGAGAAGAATAGGCTTGATCTTAGACACCTGGAAAAAACGGATGGATGTCTTTAAACTTAGAGCTTAATTTGAACAAACACTAGACTGAGCACCTTGATAATAGAAAAAGGTCCAATAAACTTGGGTCTCAATTTATGTGAGGGAAAGCTGAGAGGAATGCCTTTGGAAGACAACCAGACTTTCTGACCACACATAAATAGAGGGGGCAAACGCTTCATTCCTATTGCCAGTCCTTTTCTGGTGATCCTTCATGTCTAGAGGCATCTCTGAATGAACAAATGCATGAGGAAACAATGGCATCTGGTTCTTGGGAAGAGAATACGCTTATTTCACACGGCCACCATTTTAAACAAAAAACCATTTTAACGAAAGCTAGGCTGTGGTGGGAAAACACATGGAAGTATAGGATCGGCACTGTAAACATTGCAACAACTAGCTGTGGACTACAAACCTCCAGCTGTTGCCGTGATTTCAAAGTGCAGATGGTGTAAACATCACTTTAATATCATTCAGTTCAGTTTAATATAAACAATTAAAAGCAGATTAGGCATCAAATGAAATTACACTCTCTTTAAGAATAATATGCTTAAGTGTCCTCCTAGGATTCAGTTCACGGCTCCAGGTAAACACTGTGGGGACGATTCCTTGCTTCGGCCTATGTAACTGGGTGAGCGATATAACGACCTCACACCCTCGTGTTGTATGTAATAGAATTGTCCCGGTACTGAAGTTTTAAAAAATGGGATTTTAAAATGGGATTTCAAAAACATTTACCGCTAACATTTAGGTGCCGCTGAGAGTGTTCTTAAACAGCGCTGATTTGCCATAGTGTTCGCTGGTGCCCATTAAAAATGACTGTGATTAAGATATACAGCCAGGTACACAATGATCCTGTGCGACTCCAGGCGATACTTCCAGGTTTCTTCCCAACACAGTCTTGATACTGCTTTTAAAATGGCAGCCTCATAAAATCAGTCTACACAGAGGAATGGTACACAGCAAATTTTAGATAGTAGATTTAACTACCTTGGAGTTAAAATTAACACTCCTTCAGAGTTTATATGGGAACCACTATAAGTGTTAAAAATAACACTTTTGAAAGTGTTAACATTGTCAACACCAAGAGAGTGTTAATTAGCAAACTCTTATTGTGTAAAATATCTGTTAAATTTCCGAAAAAATACCAGCAGCTGTGGTTGCCAGAACCTTTTTGTGAAAAACATGGAATTTTTATATAACTGTATAAATTTACAAAAAATAACCATATTTCATGAACTAATACAATGTTTATTTTACAAAATCATAGTTTAGTGCACAAAACTGTAAAGTCTTTAGATGCAATAATGTTTTCATGTGTGATTGCAAGTAGCGAACAGATTTTGTCTGCATTAGTAATTACACAGTTACCTTTAAACAAAAGAAGATGCAGCATAACATCAAATTTTCTCAGTTCATCTTGGAGTTGAACAGAGATGCTATTATCCTCCACAATGGTGACACAAAAACCGTTTTGCTGTTTTTCTTTCTTTTTTTTCATTTTTAGATTTTACGGAAAAATACCAGCAGCTGTGGTTGCCAGTAATCTGCTGTTTTTAACATTCATAAATTCAGTTTACAGAATATTTCTGTTAAAAGCACATTCAACAGTCTGTATTTGTTATCGATCTCACACTGCAAATTTTAGATTTGGTAGATTTAACAACCTTAGAGTTAAAATTAACACTCCCTCAGTGTTTATATGGGAACCACTATAAGTGTTAAAATATGATTTTTGAAAGTGTTAAAATTTTTAACACCCAGAGTGTTAATTAGCAAACTCTTATTGTGTAAAATATCTGTTAAATGTATGTCAAAATACTGGCAGCAGTGGTTGCCAGTAATCTGCTGTTTTCAACATTTTAGATTCGTAAATTCAGTTTCCAGAATATTTCTGTTAAAAACACATCCCATAGTCTGTATTTTTCATTCGAACACACTTAAGCCTTAAATTCCAGAGCAAAAGCCTCACTAGTGTCCTCACTACAGAGGGCTGAACACTCAGACAGTGATGAAGTTAATGAGACAATTAAGTGTCTAATTAAAGGAGGATTGAGAATTGTTGATGAACAACTGTTAACAAGCAGAATCACTGAAGGACAGAAAAACACAAGCCAAAACCAAAGATGAAATCAACTGAGAAAAAAAAAACTCTAAATAAAATAATAATCAATAAAAAAACAAATTACACAATAAAAAAT